TCCGACGTCTGATTTCTTTTTAATTATAGGAAATGCGTTTTTCTAAGGTACATAAACTTTTGGGATTGACTCTATAGCCAATACATCCTTAAAGTCATACCCAACACATTTTAATAAAATCCTTAACATCCTTAAACAATTATTAAAGTTTGATCAAACTATCCTGTCAGAAGATTTAATTTGTGAAGAAATTTCTTAATTTGTAAAATCAGGTACCTTTTGATAATTTGTTTTGTACTCGACGAGTAGCTATCTACTGCAAATGTTATTGATTGTGTTAATGAACAAAGATTGAGCAATGAGATACTGAAGTGACAAGAGAAGGTGAACAAATGACATAGACGTATTGAAAAACGTAACGTATTCTATATTTAACAAACATCTTCTTCACGTCTGGTATTTACAGTCACACAATTGGGCGTGTATTATTAGCTAAACATATCGTCGTTGAATATTTACAGCACATAATTACAAAGTGCGCTACGGACGGAGCGATCAGCAGGCCGAATTCCTCTTCAGTTCTTCACGCGCACATACACACATAACGTATGTGTACTATTATATAATACATATAATCAACTACACAATAGTCAAATATTTGAATGTTTCCCCTCGACTCGCGTTCTCGATATTCCGACCACTCATTGATTTTTAAATGCATTTCCTTCGTACATTTGGATACACGTACTACATAATTCACTGTTTCAATTACAGATTCCAAAGCGCTTTCTTTATTATTATAATTGCCAGTATTCTTATAAAAAATTAATCAACAATTTAACAAAACCACTAAAACTGATAATTAATTAATAATTGAGAATTGAAAATTCCATTTCACGAAATAATATTTTATGAAAAACGTGTGTCACGAACGTTAATGTATGATTACATATTTCACTTACTTGAGGGAAATTGTAGTAGGTATATGTAAATGCCGCCACATCTCGAATTTATTTTTCATTTCATTATCATAAAAGCGGTGATCAATTTGTCAATAAATTGAAAACAGTAGAAAATTAATGAGTCTTCGAAATGGTTAATTTTCTCATCTGAGTATTTATACTGAGAGACAAAAATAGGAGCAATTACATATACAAAACGTATCGTCGATACTTTTATTGTGAAATATGAAACATAGATTTTTCTTTTGATTCGAATGAAGTTGGATAAAAACTTGATGTTTTATATTAAAACGTTGAAAGATTCATTACCCTTTGAACATTATCCATTTCTCATATTACATTAGAAATTTCGAAACAAAAATGACGTTAAATCAAATTATTCTTCTATAACTGAATTTCTTCCTAATTTGATTTCGAAATTTCTATACTTGCTTTTTAATCTGTGCTCAGGTGACAAAACGTGATATGCACTATTTTGCTACCAATTTTTAAATACAGTTTTGAAGATCACATACGATAGATTTTATTGTAATTAATTATAACTAAAACTAACATGATAGGAAGACGCAATACAACTTACTTTTCTTGACAAGATATCAATGTCACCTTAGGTATTATAAAAATTGTATATACCAGATTTTGCTATCTGAACACATGAACATATTCGAATTGCTTATTTTTTCTTATTCCTATCAAAACATAAAACATTGTTTCTTTCTTCAACAAATGAGAACTTTCCCTATAACAGATATACGTAATGCAAAATAATAATTATAATAGAAGTGTATACACTTGACTCATTGTATCTTGACCGCGAATACGCATTGTTCGCCATATGCCTCTAACGGCGGTGCACGCTTGTTCGTGTTCGTTTTCGGTCAAAATATAATGAGATGGGTGTACGTACATAACTAAATTCTTTATACACCTATTTACAAACTGAAAATATTAGCATCCAACTCAACAATTAATGAGAAACGGTGTTGATATCAATTCAACGCAACCGCATCGAATATTTTTTACAATGTAACAAAACATCGATGGTAAAAGTTTGAAATACGCATGTTTTCTTTTGCTTTGGAAACTTTACTTATAAGTTTGGATATGTAAAGTATGTAGTTTAATTAACTTCTCTCAATTTTCGTTTTGCCTGTTGTATGCGTTTTCTATGCACTGGCTGTATATCTCATTTCGAATGAAAATGGTAACGAGAACGCAAGTTTCCTTCTTCGGATTTTTCGCACAACTGATAAATAAAATCAGTTGAACGGCGCAGCACGTGTAAGACCGTAATCAGTTACAGATTATCGCACTAACTCTCATTTCTCTCATACATAAAAAAAATTGCAATTGGATCAATTTACACAAGCATCGTGAACGCACCTGCATATTTACCGTCTCGTTCTCACCTGACATCTGAATAATGATGGTCTCTGAATTCGACGCGCCGAAACGACACTCCGATCCGTTACTCGTTTTCATATAAAAGCTTATCTAACGTTAAACAACGAAAATGATAGCTTGAAACGCTGAGACCTTCCTATTGTCTCTGTGGTCAGTTGACAAAACTTGTGTCACGCTGCTCACGTAATACCGTAGCGTGGAACTGATCAAAGAGATCATATTACTTTAAAAACGACCCGATTGATAAATTCAACTATGAAATCGTAAAAATAGAATCGAAGGATTACATGCTTCATCCCATTTTGCCACCTCACCACAGACTTATCAAGTTTCTTTCTCTACTTTTCGCTTCTTCGTTTCCTCGTTTAGTTCACAACATATTGTCACGTTCTTCCTTGAACAAACTTTTCTGAAACATTTTGTGTACCTATATCGTAGTAATAAGGTATCGACCAGTGGAATATGAATAATTCTTTTTCCAAAACTCGTGTCTTTTTCGTAGCTTTTGTAACTTTACATTTATCATATACACGTGTATGTATATACTTACGGCAAATTTACAAGCAAACTTACGGATATTATATTTTATTTTGAATTAAAAAACGTGACGCCGTCTCCTTCGTTCCTCGTACCGATTCGAACAGTCTTTGTCTGACGAAGTTGTTCATGCTTCCTTGTATATGGGACATATTGCTTACTTTGTAAATGTACTTTATAATTCCCACAGGCATACGATACACACATTTGTTAATTTTTTTTATTTGAGAAACAATTCGATGATTCCTTTCATCAACTCGGTAAACAAAATCGATTCCCGTTTTTAATCTTGAATGTCTTTATGAAAAAGGGTAACAAATCATGTATTTTACTATGAAAAACATTTATATACAATAGCGAGTATATGAATAGAGAAACGCTTGCAGTCAGTCACAAATATACCTAAGATTCTTCAAACAGTTTAAACAAAAGGAAAATAAGAACGATGAAATTTGACAGATTCCAAAGAAGACATTTCTTATTTGTTTACTAGGAACGTAAGCAAGTAGTAGGCAGATAATGACGTACTACTTTGCTGTATGCTGATTTTAGACTATGTTCATATGCAATCGACAGATGCAGAAAACGCCACCATATCCTTGAAATCTGTCTAATTCCATTTTTAACAAACGTATTATAATAGTACAAAAGTACTTCTATTATAAAAATTTGATAAGTTTGTAACTGACTGTTCGTCTATGTACATACCACTGATAACTGATACGCAGTTTAGGAAGATACAAACTTTTTACATTTCGTAATTACATTAGAATGATGTTCTTCTAATTTTCACAAAGAACGTCGCTCGCTCGACTCTTCTATTTTCTCTGACGACAGCTAATCATGAATCAGCTATCAATAATTCATAGCAAATCATCGTCTCACTCTCGTATTAGCGAACATCTTACAGAGGAGATACAACTGAATTGCGAGGATTTATGCAAATACGTATTTCTATTAGAAAATAAATATTTCAATAATTTGTGTTGTAGAGAATTATGAAGGTGCTTTTATATTTCGTATGCGTCGCGTACTCCGAGCATTTTGTACGTTCGCTTAAAGATACATAGAAATATGTTGTCAATTTTACGTACGGATAGTCCAGGCCAGTTATACAAATAAAAGAAGATAGGACAAAGGGATTCAGAATTTTAGTTATTAATATCTTTTATGAGCGTCTGGAATTCAGGAGCTTCGTTCATCGTGTATTTCATGTTCGAAATAAGCATACTGTCCAACGGTCGATGTAGAAATTTTTGTTAATTACTGTAACTAATACATGGAAGTCGAACAATAGAAATATCAATGCGAGGATAGCGTTTCATTTACTTTATTAACTTCTATTATATAGTATGTTGTAGAACTCATATTATTTTGTAAAGGTATTGTGTATAATTGATCCCAAAAGTATTCTGGATTTTTAAAAGTATTTTTCTGTAACGAGATCAAGAATTTTCCAATTCAATTGAAAACTTCATGTGGACGACAATCAAAGTTGCCGAAAGAAAGAACGGTAGACATAATAAAGGATATTCCTTGGGACTAATGGAGAAGAGAAACCCCAATCGACATAACTACAGAAATAGAGTAAACATAGAAAGACAGAACATTGGGAAGACGAACCAGTATCAGGCTTATACAACACGAAGTCAACTGGTATTGAATGGAATTTAAATTCTATTAAAAATAATTTTAGTCCGATTTTATGCAGCTGCAGCTGCAGCAAGTATCTGTGATGCTGTAGAATTCGTTCTTTGAAAGTTTTCATCATGTACTATTCAGTTAACAGCCTTTGTACGAGTAAGCTTGATACTATAAGGATTTTCGATTACTTGTGATTATAGAATTAAAGTAGTTTCTGTTATATTTATAGTGCACCACTCAACTCGAGTATTTAAGCGCAGTTTTGAAACTGAATTTTATAAATTAATAAGTGCATTTCATTTGAAGTCTGTACGAAACGTATGAAACATATGATAACAAAAATTAAACTATCGCATGCAATTGCACAAAAACCGAATTAATTAATTATCCCAACATCAGACTAATTTTTTTATTGGTATGCAAACTTGCTTGCTTATTCTTGTCGTATACAGTACACATGAATCGTATGATTGCGTACATGCAAGGAGGATATTGAGAAAAAAAACATATTTGTAAAAGTGCAAATGAACTATATTAACATATAAAGAAATATATTATAAAAGCTTAACAAACGCAATCACTTCGCAGTGATTTAACATTGTCAACGAAAACAGAGAATTCGATAGTAATTGAAAAATTACGGTTTTTCAAGTTCCTGCACGTCGCGTTCTATGTGGTAAATGCTGTAACGATTTCATGTACATATTTTTACTAACAAAAATCCGATATAGTAGTTCCTTAATTTTAGGTAAGGAAAATATCGTAACAACAGTATCCATTTTTTCTTTTTATAAGAAAACTGATCTTCAAAAACAGAACGCGCGAATATTTACAGTGGCTCACGAAAGAATTCGAGCCACTGTACATTCCTATTTACTTGTGATCATACTTCTAGACTTAATGAGCATGGTAACATACAACTGTAATACAACAATACTTAAGAACAGAAATTATTTACATCAACCTGTTTATTTTTACCGTCAAATAAAGAACAAGTCAATTTGACAAAGAGAATTGTCATTCATTCGTTACTGATAGAAAATATGCGCTGTTGAATGAAAAATTACGATTTGAAATCAATAAATCAATTGCACATTACATATCAAATTATTACTGAATTTTAAAATTGCTAGAATAGATAAATCGTAACAACACCGAATCGAATGAATTTCCATGCACATTTGATGAAAACTTTCTGAAAGATTTATTATTAAAAGATATGTGCATTCAAGCGTATATTACAAAGAAAGATGTTGAATGAAAATATGAAGACCTTATAGCACGATTCATTCGTTTATATAAGTAGATTCTACACATATCAACGCTCTTTTCTAATCTTCAAATGATTATAGTTATACATTTTACTACCAATATTTTATCCACTTTTATTTTTTGCACATTTTAATATATCATAAGTTGCACGAGCATCTGCAGTTCAAATAATACAATAAAAGATCTAATTACGGTAATGATCACAGTTAGTATGAGTATTTTTTTTACACAAATGTCCTAATGTGTATTTATGGGCGGATGTACAGTGGCTACAAAAAGCATTGGCTAGAGGAAGATAAAATTGTTTGATCAATTTCCTCCATCATGTTATTCTTCTATCTCTACGTGGATAGTTGTACAAAATTATTCACTAACAGGCAGATTATTAAAAGAATTTATTAATTAATATTTAAGCATTTTTAATTTATTATTTAGTTTGAAACTCGTAGAGATGTTTTCAACATATTGCGACGTGAAATATTACATAAATCTGTTGAACTTTTAATAATTCCAAAATTAATCCGATTTACACTGTGTTTGGATTCATTTTAGCCGGGAACATTCATTAAAAATCTCTACGATGCAACAAGGATTACATAAATTACGTTTCTCATAAATCAGAATGATAACGTATCATTTATTGTTATCCCTGTACCGAGTTTTGAAGATTGAATGGATGTACCATTTGTGGTATGACAAATAAAATAAATATTTTTGAGATTTAAATAATGATTCCACCGATATAACTCGAATCCAGCGTTTAGCTGCAAAAATGGAACATTTAAATCATGTAATAGATGTAAGAAAACATGTAGGAGATAAAACTGAAACTTATTAGGGATGTAACATATTGTATCAATTTTTAAACGATTATGTCCATTAATATATAACAGCAACTGAATATAATATACAGAAAACAGAACGCAGTAATATGTATAACACGTTCAGAAATTTTAATCAAATGTGTTGGTAATTTATCGATTCGGTATCATCAAGCAACGCCCATTTCCTACAATAATGTACAACAAAAAAGCCGTAATATATAATAATTAAGAAAAAGACCAAACATATCGTAACAAAATTATCTAGAATAAGATACGTAGAACATAAAATCGCAGTAAATAAGTAGAGCGAAAGACAAGGTAAGAATGAAATTTTTGCCCCGAAAATAACTAATGAGATGCATTATACGATGTTGATGCGATAATAACAGAAGACAATATTCTTATAAGTTAGATTGGTGAATACAAAATGCAATTTTTCTTTAAAGTTTTAATTTGTCATCTTTTCTTAAGTCAACCCATTAATAATGCAAATTCCTTTTAATTTTCATCTACCATTGAGATAACTCTCTATTTATTGATGTTTCACTTCTTTCACTACATTTTCTGTTCATTCTCACTTCATTAACATTAAAACATACGGATATATTTTTAAGCAGGCATTTTTCTATTAAACGCCCATCAATTTAACTCGTTTTAGTGTTAAAGTCCACATTATTTATGGAATGACCTAACGTGATACACGTATGACAAATGTTAACAAAATTAATAGTAGATGTATATTATTTACTAAATGCAATACTAAATAGTTTACATTGTGTACTAGCTATATCACTTTACATCTGCAGTATCACAAAAGTTTATGAAAATATAAATTTAGCATTTGAAATTTAATGGGTAAACATTAAAAGAGCCCAAACTTACTTTTAAATTTCTTAAACGAAAGATATTAATGAAAAAACTGCATGCAACGTTTTCCGATGGATAACTTTTACAAATCGAAACTGTAACAACGAAAGTTCAATTTCTAATTAACAAAAACAATAGCATGCCTAGTTTGATATAGAAAATAAAAGAGCATTTAGTATGCACCAAGCTAATGAATAGGATTCATCTTCACTAATTTTTAGGTCCGTATACAAATCATCACATCGACGTATGTAGATATAGTTCACGGTTTTCGTTCGCGGCAATAGAAACATCATCCCTATGTCTGTAAAATTCACATTGTGAATCTGCACACTCTCTCCCTATATTCATCTTTCCCTTTTCTGCACTTTACGTCTATAGCTGCATGCCTTCAAGAGGCGTATGCGCTATCATTTGATATCTCTACAAAATAGAATTAGAAGAAAATAGATTTCTTTACAAAACGGAATCGCGTCTACCGTTACTAAGTCGCGTACAAACTAAATAATCATCGTATCATACAAAATTGACGCCTAAAAAATTTTTCATCTTTTGACATACATCATAGCTCTTGTTACAAATGCCACGTCGAATACACTTATTGTTATTCAGGGAGCAAATGCTCTATACACTGTTCAAAGGAGACGTAACTATCATATCTACACGGTATCTCGTATCGACATAATCGGATCACGGCAAAGATAAACGAATCGGACGATTGTTATGTAACGTTAGTCTAATCTCCGGTTCTTTGGTACGACTTTACCACAAACAATCGAATCAGCGAAAGAGAAGAAACAGTATTCTTTACCAAACAACAGATGCATATTTTTGAAAAGAACAGTATGGAAAGTAACTCAAATATTTATGTTTAAAACTGAAGAAGAAAAGAATTCAAAATCTTTGTTACTTTTGTGTAAGATTGTATATATAATATACTTAATAGTGTTCGTTCAGTATAAATCGAAAGTGGTACAGGCAATCTACAGCACGGTGTGATCACATTCTTTGAATATATTAAAGCGCACGTGACTATCCTACCACATTATTCCATAAAAATGTTTTTCGTTCAATACGCGAGAAGTTTAAAATAAAGTCATACGCGTCTATTTGGAATATCACAATCGCTTTATACGATATATGGGAGTCACTTTCTCAATTTTTTAACCGTGCTGTGTTATAGAATTATTGCATTATACGTGATTGCCTGCAGGATGAAACATTCGTTAACGGAAAACAGGTGAAAAAGAAAGTATGCTAACCGCGTATGTGTTCTACGCCCGATTGCTTCACACGGTAGATGCAGTCGTGTGCGCACGTGCGCGTACGTACATGAAAAACGCACGTGCCTCCACGGTACTATCTCTGGCAAAAAAGTTTCCCACACGATAATACAAAATTAATTGAGAACGTTTAAACCAATAGAAAAAACTAAAAACATTTGATCTGCTTGTTTTATAATACATGAACAATAACGTTTCTCAAGAAAGAGGCTCTTACTCCTTTCACTTATCGATTCATTTCGTATCGTGTGTTTAATTTAATCGAAACCTTTTTGCCGTGTATAGCAACAATGTACGTACATGTATGTATGTGTTAATGTGTGAAATATTGCGAGAGCATTGGAGACGGCAGTTGTGAACGCAATCGATTAAATTAGAAAAGCGTAATCATTTGAAACGTGGGGATATATAATCTTTGACTGACACTTAGTGGTGTATGATAAAGAAATGGTATAGCAAAATGTGAAACCTTGAGTTAGTTATTACAGATATGCGATGAACGAAGCCGTCGAACATACAGAAAGAAAGGACCCCGGTGAAAGATATTTCGTACCGAAAAGTTGAAGTACGTTGAACGAGGGTAAACTTGCGTATCACACGAATAATGAACCTTTTATTTTTTTATTATTAACTGATAAGTAAAAATTGATCTTTGACACGATGCGCGATGGCAGTCACCGGTTAGTCACGAGAAGAAAAGAAAATCCGAACGGAATCGAGCTTAATGTTGACTTACACTTATCCGTTCAATTGGACAGCCCGTAAAAAATGTTTACGAGAAATAAGAGAAAAGTAAAGGAGGAAAAGAGTTAAGAGAAATAACTCAGAGATCGGTATGGTATCCGACGATGCTTGACTGGCATCGAGGAAACGCGTTCATCGTTCATACGAATGCAGGAACGTAAATAGTGCGTACGGTTCAGAAAAAGCCATCACCGCATGTGCCACAGACCAAGGTTTAACGTATTCAGTTGCGGCAACTTCATAATCCTCTCTAAGCCGTTGGTACTTATCCTGGTACATCCGTAAAGATCGATACATTTCAAATGCTTCATACTCTCGGCAATGGTGTAGAGTCCCTTGTCCGTCAACCTGCTACACTGGCCGATGTTCAGAGTCTCCAAATCGTGCAAGGTCTTCGCGATCTTGCAGATACCCTCGTCGCTGATTTGGCATGCGGACAGCGATAAGGATTTCAAATTGAACAGTCCCTGGGAGATGTGAACGAGCGCTTGATCCCCGATTTTGTCGCAGAACGACACGTCCAACGAGGAAATCCTGCTACCACCTTCCGCGAGGTACGCCATACCGATGTCGGAAATATTGTCGCACGAGCGAAGGTTCAATTCAAGCAAGCTGGGCATTTTGGCCAGGTGTTTCAGTCCCGAGTCGGTGATGCACACGCAAAACGAAAGGTTGATGGATTTCAGGGTGGTCAGACCGATCGACACATACCTGAGAGCCTCGTCGCTCAGCCGCTGACAATCCTGAAGGCTCAGATACTCCAATTCGAAATTTCCCCCGGCCGCTTCGCGATTCACGCCGGCCAAATTCGCTATACCCAAGTCAGATACTTGCCAACAACTTCGCAAATCGAGTCTCTTCAGTTTTTTCAAATTCCACGCTATACAGAGCAGCCCGGCATTGGTAATGTTGCTACAACCACCGAGCTCGAGATGCTCTAGATTTTTTAAATACGGCACTGTCCTACCGAGAGAAATGTCCGACACTTGTTTGCACAACGAAAGATTCAATTCGGTGAGCGTGGGATATTCTTGATAGAAAGCGTTGATCAGGCCGGCGTCGGTGATATTGTAGCAGCCTGAAAGATTCAACGCCTCCAGGTTTGGCACGCCTTTCAAAACATCGCCGAGACCTCTTCTCAGCGACAATACCTGAACCCTTTTCACTCCTCTCCTGACCAGGCTAGCGAACAACGCCGGTGCCTGCTTTCTTAAATGTAACCTGGCCTCAACCCCTCGCCAGACGGACCGGTAATACGCTGCATCCCTCCACGCGGTACACACTTGTGCCGCGCGTCCTTTGTCCCTGACCTCGAGGTAGCTGAAGATCAGCGCCAATATTTCAGGATACAAACAGGAGATATGCGTGCTGGCCGCGACCGTGCCGCGGGGAGTTACTTGCGGTTGTTGCCTCGACGAGAGGCCTTGCGCGTATGCCGGTAGACCGGTCGTACCGCTGGTATAATGTGGCGTGTTGCTCGAGTTGTAGAGGATCCCTTGACTTTGCGACGACTGTATCGCGGCTAGGTGCGGCTGGTGCAACTGATAATAATGTCCCGAACGATGAAGCAACGTCGTGCCGCGGTTCGGCGTTAATGCAGGAAGTTCCGTCATCAACAGCTGACTTTCCTCCATCTTGCCCACTGATATATACACACACGCCCGCACATACACTCGTTTTTCAAAATCTCTGAACGTCCGCGATCACTTTGTATATCTTTCCCTTTCCCTTTCCTTTCCGACCCCTTCCCTTGCCGCCCCTTCACAGCCTTCCGTCCTTACGGAATCATCTCTTCACGCTTCTCTTTCTCTTTCTCTTTCTCTCCCTGTCTCGCTTTTCCTGTCTTCCACGCGCCGCTATTCTTCTTTTTAGTTACATCCGACGATCTCATACCATGCGTAATACATACTTCCCCGATTATTTCGTACGAATATTAATTCGTACGGTCCAACGACGTGCGTATAATCTCAGCCTCGAAGGAATTTATTTTTCGGCCGTTCGTGTTAACTCTCCGATTAGATTGATCATTGACAATAGATCCGTTCTAACCAAAAAAACGAATCGAATGAGAGAAAGTTCATCGATTGTTTTACTTCACCAATTTTCAATCCCACGCAGATATATTTCTTAGAGAGCACTCGCGAAACGGCACACAACAAACGTAACACTACCGCATTTTTCGACTCCTATTTCGCTTCTTCCACGCGTTTCGCTTTCTTTCTTCTCGCACTCTACGTTTCTCTCTTTTACTCGCTCCCTTCCTCCTTTCCCAAGCGCCCTCTCTCCTTTAACCTCCCTCGCACCGTCCTTCTCTTCTTCTTCTCTTTCTATAGACGTACAGGTACGTGTACGTAGTCATCTACAGTGATATACATACACACACGCGCGCATGTGCGCGCGCGTGTGCGTTTGCGCGCGTGTGTATTAACGTTGTTACGTACGTCTGTGTGCTGCAGGCGCGCTTGCGAGCGCGCGTACGTAAGTATACACGTACGTCGTGCATGCGTGAGTGTCGCGCCGTACAATAAGTACGTGAGGTACACTTTTTCTCGTCCAGCTTCTTTCTCCAAAACGTATTTGTTATTACTTCACCTCTCTCACTCTCACCACGCCAATTATTTATCTTCTTTTCTTACTGCTCGCACACGAGGAGACAGTTGCTCTCCAAACTAAACTACGTGCGCCCTGCTCTTCGCCACATGATCATCATTTCTCTTTTTAGACGCGATACGAATGATAGCGATGTACTCGCACGCGCACCACCGCGCCGTTACCGTATCTCAAACCGAAAACGAACCGCGAGCGAATCGTGTCAGACGCGTACGTATCTTAATATCGTACTCGCGTTCGCCCTCTTAACGGTTAAACATGTCACAAAAGCATTCGCGTAACTGGCTTCAAAACGACACATCGCCAAAACGTAAACCGGTGCGCTACCAGTCGCGAACTGTTGTTCCAGTTACCTGAAGTCAGATGTCGTGTCGGGACGGGAAAAGTAAACTTTGTTCGAGCCGGTCGCCTATTGGTCAACGGAGTTCGGGTCCCGATCACGTGACTACCTCGACGAATATCGATTCGGGTTGCGCTGCGGCGGCATTTTTAAGTTTTCGTCGGATGGTGGGGGTATAACACACCATGTACTCTCCGAGAACCACGTTGCGACTACACTGTTCCTCGCATTTTTTTTTCCCCGTTCGATCCCTCTTTTGCAATATCCCTTTTGATCGATCGTTTCTTTCTAATTGCTTTTTCTCCTCATTGTTATTTTACATAAGTACTTATCTGTAAATATATATACGACCATCTGACAATTATGTCTTGATTCGAAAGAAAAAAGTACAATTGATTTCCTCTGCTTTTTGTCGTGTGCTGTATGAATTACTGTTTCACTGATCATCAACGAATTTGTATCGATCAAACAATTAAAATATTCTTTGTATTATGTATTGTTTATAGTAGGACATAAATGTTGTGAAAGCATAATGATGTATGGACTACAGCAAATATTGATAAAGCAATTTCGTATACATAATTAATATACTTCTTTCGTTTTTAAAATATATATAGATTTTAAAACGGAAGTGTACATTGCTAGCTTGTTAAAATCTCTATAGTACATATGTACTTAGGTACAAATCTACATAGGAGTATATAACATAGGAGTGTATGTATACTCATTTAATATAGAATGCTCAGTTTCAAAACTAAGAAGTTGGAAAACATTTATTGAAATTGGAAACTTTAGTTTTCTTAGTGCTTGAAAATACAAATGTGCAAATACCAAACAATAAATAATAATAAGACGAGAAAGGTGAACAAGAAATAGATGACAAATAATGCATGGTATGTTCTTATACACGTAAATTCTATTTATTTAAATTTAAAGTATATAGTAATTCATATTACAATGTTATAACTGTATAACAGTAAACAATATTGAATATGGTTGGTTGGAATATTTGTGATATGCCATTAAAACTGGCAAGTAGGTAGAATATATTTACAAATTATAAGATGCCGCTTCTTCGCCTTATTTGCAAGATATGTTGTCCTGATCAAAAAACTTCGTGCTAACATCGATTACAATAATTCACGTGGAGCTGTTTTTAACGGTATTACAGCGGCAGCGGATTAGGATATCCTAACTACTATCACAGATGATAAACGACATTTACTGCATTATCAGAATGTATATGTATAATATGTCAAACATACATGCACTTATTACCAAATTTGGAAAATTATAATATATTCGTCATTGTTCATTTTCCGTCATTATGAAAGTTTTAGCTTTTCATCCGCTATTACAATCACATACAATTTTGTTATTAATTGTCAATTGTTTTATATGTATAACAATAATACTCTTAAATAATCTCGACGATTTAACGTTTATTAAAAATGTTTATTAGCTTAAGAAGTAGACTGAATCAGTAAAAATAGAACACACTGCTGTCATGTGCTGAGAGTCAAACTTTCTAAAGTATACATTAAGAAATTAAATAGATTCATAATGAAAGAACAAAAAGTTCCTAATCTCTCTCATCTCGGTTTTAAGACAACGAATAGATTATATTTAAATTGTCATACCGTAATCCTTCATCGATTAAAATGCTTGCCTCTGTTATACCGTAAACACATGTTACCTTTTGTTAAAATTTACTTAAAAACCATTCTAAATCATCGGCAAAAAGCGGGAACGCATAAAATTGAATCAGATCCCGTTGACGAGGATGGATCGTTTTCGTTCATTAAATATCATTGTATTAACAATATGTTGAATTCACATTATGGTAACTTATTCAAGAAAAATGTATCCGTGATCATTCAAGTTCCACACGCATGTTTCTTTTTATTTTATTGTACGCAATAAATTTAGATTAAGCTTTGTACAATATATTTTTCCGCCATCTATTTCATGTTGCTTCCTTTTATAAATAACTTGACGCAATGGAAAAAAGATTGGGTAAGCAGTAGCTATACATTTATATGATTTACTTTTTTTTCTTCCTTGTGCTGACTCTTTTCTTGTAAATTGTACAATATAAATAGGCCCTTACGTTTTTAATGCCACATTCAAAATAGGTATTACTTGTTGTAAAGTGTGCTGTTTTGCAAAGTTACTCTCAAAAGTTAAATAAACACTCCGCATTCATAACATTTGCATCCTATATATACTGAACGTTGCTAGAGCGTTAAAGTATATTTCTATGAGAATATACAATCTTCGATGTTATAATTTAGATATAAAAAACTTAATGGTTTTAAAAGACATCGGTATTACAATGTGTTTCTGTTACAATCGCATGCTAGCAATCTCTGCTTTCGCTTCATCTTATTTTCTCTATTAAATGATATTAACAACAGATTATAATGCTTATGATGCTGTTAACAACACTTCTTTTTATGCTGCTTTGTGCTTTTCCTTAAATTGACTGTTTCACTGGTTTGAATAGCCTGTCGCTCCTTCCTCTCTTTTTTGGTTCTTAATACTTGGCGTGTTATGGCCATAAACATCTAAATGTAACAAATTAGAATAAATTGAAAGTTAATTTAAATCGACATTTTAATTGTGACTACAAGACAGTACGGTAACTATATTCTTATGAAGTATATTTTTCAATACATTTTCTTAAAATTTGTTCAAATATCTAAATACTCGAATAATGATAATATAGGCAATGAAATGAAAATAAGTATCTGAACTCGAAACATACTATAAGGAATAGCAATCAATGAAAGTAAATTGTATGCATAAGTGTTACTTACTTCTTGAACATTAATATTGTTTTTAGCAGAAGTTTCAAACAGTTGGATTCCCATTTGATTAGCAAATCTTTGTGCATCTTCTGTTAATACCACCTTTTCATTAGGTGAATCATTCTTATTCCCTACAAGTACCCTGTTGACCACATCACAATTTTGTTCGATTTCATGTAACCATCTTTTAACATTAGCAAACGAATCACCACTGGTCACATCGTACACAACTATAACACCGTGTGTTCCCCTGTAGTAAGTTGAAGTTATTGTCCGAAAACGTTCTTGTCCGGCTGTATCCCAAATTTGGAGCTTTACTCTCTCACCATCTACATCCACAGTTTGTATTTTAAAATCCACTCCTATTGTCGTTATGTAACTGCCGTTAAAAGTATTGTCAGCGAATCGTAAGAGCAGTGAACTTTTGCCCACACCTTGAAACAGAAACATGACAAGATATATGAGTAGTTTATACATATAAATAAATGGATACATAAGGTCCAAAGGAGTCTGTGGAGTTCTAAAACATATTTTGATATCACTCTATTTATCACATGATTTTTATCGGTTCAGCAACAATTTTCTCAAGAAACAATGTTAATCAATGATAATCATTCTTAATTTACAAATAATCTATGACTCTACTGAAATTCATGAGTATCAACGGGAATAATGGTTTGATACATGTAAGGAGAAAAGAAGATGATCATTTATATAGCTTTATGTATATTTAAACTAAATATTTAATAATACTCAACAACATTGAACACAAGATCTTTCTTGCTTTCCAAAGAACTGTTAAATATGTGATATATCTGTATTACTTCCAAGAAGAGCTAAAGTATAAGAATTCA